CGTCACAATGAAGACTAAACGGCGACAATTATGGCGGTCGCCGAGTAGTGAGCAGCGACAGCAAATATTTGAGATGAATGGCAAATAAACAATCAACACCATCAACACGAGTGATTTTATTGCACACCTTTCATGAAGATTAATTAATTAATGAGCCCATAAGCCATTGCTGACAACACTTTAATTGCGCATGTGTGTATGTGTGTGTGTGTGTGTGTGGAAATTGGTATTATAATTATATTGTTGCTTGTTCATAACTCGCTTCCCATAGTTATTATGCCACTCTACAGTGTGTAGAGTGGGCGATTCATTTTGTTCACACAGAGAAGGAAAGGGACAATTTTCGAGAGATTTTTCGAAGGATTAGCTCTTCTCCTATATTAGTCTACTTGTAGCTTTCGTCACGAGAGGCACCTGCATTTATAGTACGAAATAAAATATATCCACAACTCTATTAGCGTGTCCTGTATCTTTACGAAACGGCAGCGATTTAAGAAAAGCAAGGGCATAGCAATTCCTTTGTCCACCAAACCAGATTTCGACCAGTATACCATATATACTGTCTTCGAGCAATTGATACATTTTAAAGTTACGTTTATTCCGCCGCATGCATATTGGTTCGCACGGTCAGAGTTCGAGTCTTGGTCGAAGATTTTTCTAATTGCAGTCACCACTCGGCAGGGAGAGTCCAACTTTCTATTTGTATTTCTGACACGTAATGAAGGCTGCTTATAAGAAACGCAAAAGCTGTTCGTAGGCGGGGCTTGTAGTGTTCACCGCAAGTCGGAGAAGGAGCTCGGCCGAAAATTGCTTGGTATACACTTGGATGAAGACTTATTCATTTTCTAGTGTGCGGAGGCTAGCATAATTTTTAGATCGAATTTATATCTCTCTTCCCTCAGAGTGGGCTAGAGAAGCTAATACGAGCAAGCAGAGCTGGCCGGCTGATGGCTTTACATAGCCACGTTGGTACTTTGTTGTGATATAAAGTAGTCGACATATAGGACGTCAACGCTTTTTGCGCGGCTCGAAGGCTACGAGATATCTCAGACAAATACTAGCTAAAACCAGACAGGGACAGAAACGCTTTTCCAACGACGAACTCATACATTCCCATACTGCTTGCAGGAGAAGCCAGTAGATTATGGCTCGTCATTAGATCAACAACTGTGCTGCAGTCCTTACTCAGCCAAGAATATACTACAGTACTCTCGAAGCTTGAATGGTTACCTGAGGACTAGTTCAATGCTTCAAAACTTCGAAGAAAATTTTATCAGCCATTTTTGATCCATCCGTGCAAAAGTTATACGTTCCACTGGCGGGTGGAATGTTAAACGCCCTATCCGCCCTCCTTAAACATGGCTTGAAATTTAATTACTCAGACGAAGTAGCCTATTTTGTACTCTATCCCCCTGCATATCAAGCGCAGCTGAACTGCAAAGGAGCAATCTTCTCCATGAGCATTCAATTATAGACGTGCACCGGTAACAACCCCCAAAATCGTCTTGTTTTCTTCTTGCAGCTTCTGGTTTCGATTCGAGCATAACTCAGAAGGACCGGCAGGCGGCAACGTAGTCGAAATATAGTAGAATATGTCTGAATATTAATAAAAAATATATATATATAGCCGAGATAGCTGCCTAACGCTCACGAATAAATCCTTCTCGCCGTTCGCTAAGAAAGATAGCCAATTCGCGTCCTATTTGGGATCTGTACAAAACGGAACTATTACTCACCAGCGTCAACATCGAGGACAGTTTCAGTCCTGAAATCCAATACAAAATACTAAGGAAACGATCGGAAAAAAAGAAGAAGAAGACGAGATAAGGAAAAAGATTGTTTAGCATTATTATGGTTCAACTGAACCCGTAAAGATGAGAAACATTTTTATAAAATTCTATTCTTCTCTGCAGGGATTGGTTTCTTCTAAGTTGTTGTCAGTTGCAGCCGAACTTAGCTCTTTCTTACTTGATTTGGCTTGTTTTCGTTTTGTAAATTTGTTAATTGCTCTGTCAATTATCAAAATACGTAACATAAACATATGTACTTATACATATGTACATAAGTACATATATATATATAATATATACTGAGTATTTATTATACGTTCAACACCATTTAACAGTTGTAAATAATTTACTTTAAAAAAATATAACTAGTTTTGTACATGTGTACCTACATTCACCACAAAATGTCGATATATATATCTGTATGTATGTAAGTATGTCTATTATACAATATATTTGCTGAATCAAATTAAAATGAAAAAGAATTTATGTAAAAACACTTACTTTTTCATATTACAACTTGTAAATGCAGGTTGAAATTTCAATTGCCCATGTTGTACGTACATAGATACATACATGTACATATATGTGGAAATATTTAAAATCTTTTGAGCTACAAATTTTGCTGTTTTTTCTCACAAAGATTAGCGTTTTATGCACAAATATTGACGAGTTGAAGCTTTATGCTACGCCAAATAACCTGAAATATTAACTGATTGAGGTAAAACTCTGTTCACATTGCCACACAATTAACTAATTGAGAACGTTGAATAAATTAGGTTCTTAATTACTCAAAAATTAATATTTTTAAGTTGAAATAAAAATTCAAATTTTCGTAAAGCTGCTCATACATCCCTCTGAAGTATATTTAATAAATTTGCTCGGGGATATCCCATGGTCGGAAAAATCAAAAGGCCTTTAAACAGAAAAAAACACAAAAAATGGCTGAACGAAATTGGTGTTAAATTTAAAAAAATTCGAAAATATAATGTGCTTCAATGAACAATTTATTTTGGATATATTTTCTTGACGCTCAAAATGAAAAGAATTTCATCTATCCAAATATAATTCTTTCAACTTAATTAAATGTGTGTGAATACCCAACTCAGAGAAGTAATTTATAGTTTCCTATTCTTCTGTACTGGCATAGGCAACACATATGCGGTTAAAGCCGAGTTGATAACAGCACCTATCCCAACGCCCATTCGTTACATGTTGTCATCGTCCATGAGAGGGCAGGATACGAACAATGAATGACTTGTAATGATAAAGAGTCACTCTGTTTGCAACTTGTTTGGTACTCGTTTGGAGCTCTTTACTGCGTTGTCAAGGCTGTTTGAAAATCGTTGAAAAGGTAAAGTGTATCGATTATTTTCTCAAAATATTTATCGCATATTGAATATCTCGTCCATGGTGGATTTATCAGGTTTAAAGTCACACTGATAAGGTCTAATCAGTTTTTGGCTTTACTCATTAACACATAACCCTCAATAGAAGCTTATGTATAAGCAAGATTTAGAAGACTCATCCCACGGTATTCCGCACAGATCGCGGGATCGCGGAGACTCAAATTCCATCCATCCGGCATGCTTTAGTCAGACCATATTCTGCATGCACTTTTTTAGCTCTTCACCGAAATTTTTTAATATGGCTGCCGGTAAACTTTTAGGAAGTTCGCTATTCGAACCTCGTCATAGTCAGGTAGTGGAACATCTACTCCATCATCATCGATTGGAGTTTCGGGTTCACCATCTCCGGGTGTTGCACTTTCAGTATCATTAGTCCGTCTGGAAAAGTGGTGTGTACACCAAGTAGGCTTTGGAAATCCGTCACCAGATTACCCCTTTTTTTACATCATTATGCCCCAGTCTTGAAACCTACTGTAAAGCGCAGTATTTTTTCGAAGAATTTTCGAGCATTGTAGTTGTCGGATAGCCTCTAAAGCTCTTAAAACGCACACATTTCGGCCTTTTATCTGGCTTTTTGCTATTTTTCACTGGTGTATAGCTGAATGGCTGGCATTTCATTCTCACATTCTAATGGCTACGGTGCGAGTTCTGGTTCGACCAAAATTCATAATTATATAGAATAAAATTTTCCAGTTGCGTTCGCCCATCGGCAGGGAAAGTCAAACTCTCCAAGCATATTTCTTGTATAAAAATCAAAACTCTACATAAAAATGTTTCGGCTGTTTGAAGACGGATTATGAGCTTTAGGTCCTTCCATTTCTTGGAACAACATCAAGACGCGAACCCCCAATCTGGAAGAGGACCTCTTCAGAAAATTACCTCAGCATTTACATAGCGAAAAGTGAGATGTTTCAATCATATGGGAAAGAATCGTGAAAGTTTAATCCCTGTTAATTGGCTTGTTTGACGATAGTCCAAAAGCTTGTTCCATCAATGTTTGAATTTCTCGGGGTGAAATATTGTATAAAATAGTGATTTTGTATTTTAAAGGTAATAATCACTAAATAATTCAAGTTAACGGCTTAGCAGCGAACAACTTTATTTGCACTGCTCACATGAGGGTTAACTGGGGCAACTCAGTTCAATGGCGCTCATTGGCGATAGCTCATTTTATTGTGGCGTAAATTATCTGGCTTTGCTGTTGTTGTTGTGTTAAGATAACGATAAAGTAATAAGTGCCCACCACGAGTTTCATTCACGAGAATTATTTGTTATAACCTCAAATTATATTCTAAGAATTTCAGATTGCTCATATCTTAACCCTCAAAAGGAAAAACTATAATTGCAATATTTACTTAGTATTTATCAGCTAAATTCAGAGCATTTGAATTTGTATATTTGTATACATTCAAATCTACATAAATGACCCATTTCGCAAAACTTTACCCCGATAACATTCCAATTTCTTGTTGCTCTGGTAAATCTACAAATATTTACTATACACTCGTGTCGGTTGATAGTGAATCCCTGCTGTAACTCGTCTTTTGCAAATTTTACAAGTAAAAGCATATAAATAACGATGTATCTACTTGCAATGAAACACTTATCGCACAATAACGTGATTTATGCCGACGGCTGTTAGTTAACTCCATTTTGGATTTGAAAAAAAAGCATAGGTACCCTGTCGGAAAATTAAGGGTTGAAATGTAAAATTCTTCACATGATTTTTTCCATTACAAATATTTCATAGTTTTATGGTCTTATAAAGTTCAGGTAGTTATTTAATGTATTCCTTAATACTCACTTTGCATTTGGAGGTATGAACGGTGAGCTTGCTTCACATCTTCCGGCGTTCCGAGTGTGCTGAGTTTATGCTTTGTTATATCACCGATCTCACCAGTTTGGGGTTCGTCGGAATCTCTGCCAGGTTCATCATCGGGATATTCCTACAACAAATTGTGAAATGTAAAAAATTTAAAAAATATTATATTTTCAAATATTTATATTAATACCCGTATGTAGGGATAAGTATGTACTGGTATGGATTCACTTTGGTCCGATGTGTGTGTGGAAACTTATTGATTTAGATATGAGGTTTTGGGTCAAAAACTTTTTAACGACCATACAAAGTAGTGAATTTTCAAAACGTCAAAAATCATACTATAAATAAATTTGATATATTTATGAAATTCTTATAATTTCGGCTGTTGGCCTGGCCTGGATTCGGCCACATGATTTTTGATTTTCTGCATGGTAGTTCACACAATCTTTTACATTAGACTGTCTGCTATTTTGGTTTATGGTTACTCTCAATAAAGTATATTGCCATTTTTCCGGACAGACTAAGGCGGCACTAAAAATTCTGTAGTCTTTAACGATGCAATTGGAATGGTAAGGCCGTTGATGACTTAACGTAGTGGCCTAATGGTTTCCTCTTAAGCTGATGAGCTACTGAAAGAGACTCTGAAAGAAAAACGGTACTCTTTCATCATCATCGAACAGTTTTTACAAGCCGCTCTCCACATGAAAACTCCCCATAACAAAGTTATTCCTCGCATATGACAGCTCAAGATGACTGGCCCTCAATTGATTCGAGGTAAATAGATTAATGTCACCATCATAGACTAAATGTAGTTCATAAGAGCTTGATTCACTAAAAAGAAAGGATATATGTAAATGCAATTATGTGTCTCCCAATAGAAAAAGGATTCTGGTCCTCTGGTGATACCATTAACGAATATTGTACCAAAGGGTGGCAACTTTTGGAGACTTGAGTGAAAAATCTGGAAGATAATGCCCAATTATTCCAACTCGTCACATTAATTTGTCCAGCGCGTGCGGACTAATGAGACATTCAATGACATTATATTAAGCCAGTTTGGTTCCCTACGTGAGCTAGAGCCCTGCAACCACCCAACCAAGATCAATAGTAGTTTTAGCTAAGACAGTTAAGGTTTAAATTGGATACTAAGGTTGATGTTCGCAGATTATTTAAGGATGTGAAACTTTGAAAAAAAATTTGGCTGTAACAGCGGCTCGCAATTTATTTTTCCTCAGAGTAGCATCCCATCAGAAATCACTGCACAACAAAGCATTCACGCCAAGCAAAGACACCAATTCCAAGCAATGATTGACATGTGAGACTAATGACACTTCCTCTGGTGGAGGAGGGAGTTTCGCGATATAAAAATTAAACATTAGTGGGGAGAGGTACATGGTCTACCTCAGCAACCCCGGCGATATTGAGGATTCTTCATTGTCCGTTAGAAAGTTCTCACAACCGCCTGAGTTCACCCGATTTTTTTTTTCGGCCAAAGGCTGGCATTCTTTCGGCGATGTAACCCCGTTCAGGTCAACAGTTAGCATTAAGAAAACTACTCTTCTCTCTGCGAAGCGGACCAGGGACTGACCTCTTCGGATAAACGTAATTTTGGTTTGATTTACTTGAAATTTGGAAAACAATTAGTATATATGGTAATAAACAAAGATCGTGCGTAGATAAGTTGGATTGGTTCAACTTGAGTGTGAATAAGCTAAGATACGGACTAGGTACGGACTATATCAATACTTAACCGACAATATGCGTGCAACCTGCCAAATAATCCATCGGCCGATGTATTTTGCGGCAATTGATCAGAATTTCGGACGGATTACATTACCCGATAATTTTTGTAATTTAGTGGGATCAAAGAGGAATTGATTCACGGAGTATTCGCAAATATCCAAATCATTTGTAGGGATCATGGCTGGTGATATATTTTCGTTGTAATATACTAAGATGTACTTGATTCCGACCACACTATTCAGTCTAACATTGAAAGCGATTGCGTCATTTATAACTTAATAATGAGGGAGGCAATTATGTAGCAAAATTTTCGAATTATTTGGACTTAGCGGTGATCACACCGCACTTACGAAATTAGAAAATTAATCGAATCATTCTCCATATGATAATTAGCCTGTGGGTGCCGTATTTAATATACTTTAACATCTCTCTAAGTCGTGGAAAATATTTCAATACCAAATTGTTAATTAATTTGTAATTACGCGCTTATATTATGTCACTTTATAATCGCAAAAGCGATTTCGGCACATTTATATGCAGCGCTTAAAAATTTTATCTCATATAAATATCTTTCAATTTAGTTATTATGTCATTATAAAATGTAAGCGATATGCTTTTTACCAATAAAGTATTTTTCCACTAATATTACATAAACGATATAATTTCGGAATTGCAATAAGCCATAAAAATTACCAAAAAAAAAAAAAATTAAAAAAGAAAACAAATTTTATAGCTGCGAACAACAAGGCCTAAGCGAAAGTGTGAAGGTCCGCTTTTACTCTTAATTTCTTTGTCGCCACCTTGAAAACTTAAATACCAAACCAAAATCACTAAAAAAAAATCGAAATCATTTCCTTCTTAAATTGATTACAATGTTTTTGGTCTTTGCCGAATAAAATGCCAGTATTATGTTGAAGGTGTTGTCAATTTAATATACCTTTATGGTACGCCATAAATCTCTTAATTAGGCACTTCATTGATTTAATGAGGTTTATTAAATTTTCGACGGCACAAGCTTTAGGTACCAGAGAATGGGCGCTTAATGAAATAAACACTTTGTCACTTGGAATGCATAAATTATATAATATAAGAAAAGCGAAATTATAAATTTAGTGGAATTTAAGACGCAGCTGAGAAAACATTCGATACAGTCCATAACTCAGGTCACTAAGAGTAATGGCTGTACGAGAAAATATTATGTGGCCTGATGGGTTAATATAACAGTGTATTTGTAGAAAACATTATTGATGATATTTATGTCTTGTCACACAACACATATATGTACATATTAATGTTTGTTAATTTGAAAGAGAAGAAATGTATGCAACTGCTGAACTCCTCTTCAAGTTTGTGGCGTGCGTCTTGAACTTCCGAAATATGGAGTGTAGATCAAAGTTTGTTCTAAGCCGCCTCAGAACCATTGACGATGAACCAGAAGGTTTTTATTTAAACAGCATTTTACATCAGAGCTTGATATTACCTGCCGAGGGGCTGTAATCCTGGATGTTGGTCGAACCAATACTCGTAGCCTGACCGTCAGAATGGCCATAGGCAATCCTAGCCACTTGGCTATTGCAGCCATGCTGCAAAACATAAATTGCAGCGTTGCATAATCTACTGAACACTTATTTTGTTCGTTCACAATACAAGATGTGGGTGCGTTAAACTTCAACGGAATCTGTTTTTTTTGGGGGTTTCAGGCGACATCTTCTTAAAATTTATGCCAAGAAATGACCATTGTAATACTTACTATTACAATCTTTTACTCTTTGACTTGTTATCGATCCAACCATCTGGCTTCCCCGATCTAACCTTAGAAAATTTAATTTCCCGGACGATTTTCACCTATCAACGACCGTTGAAAAAATAGCACCACTGATGCCTAGACAGATAAGTAGTTGCAGCACAAAAGTGAGACTGATTTCTGCGTATCATCGTTCTTACAGCTGCAGTAATATTTTTTTCAAAGGGGCTCAAAGTTCAGCCAATGACGGTCCAAGCTTTAAGGTATTATATACCAAGACTTCCCATTTATGAAGCTCTGATCCTAATTGTATGAAGCATAACTGCATATAAACCTCCTCTGTATCATTTTGCAAAAGATAAAAAGCTGCCTAATATTTTATTTCTATGAAAGAATCTACTCAGTCATATCCTGTCGAGCAAGTTCATTCTTCCAGGGGCTCATTTCTATGTCCTTATGACCTCAAGCTAAAATCAAACACAGTCTGTTCCGTTCATTTATCGCTAAGTCGCATGAAAATTTGGTTCCAAAATGCGTGGTCACCTCAAAAGGCCATTTAAAAAAGGCATTCGTGGATGAGTTCTGGGAGGAAAACCATCATCTTATTCCTTCATTTCAAGATAGTTGATCAAGCGAGCCATTCTTCCGTACCATTGTTATAAAATTGGACCAATGAAGAAAGCAACGATCTATAAGTGTTAAAATGGAACTTTGAACTTTCTAGTGCATTAATCCAAACCCATTTTTTCCAATAACTCTCTTTTGGGCATACATTGCAAAATAATCGTTTTCATAACTTTTAACTGATCCTCCCCAACTAGCAGTTATTATTCGACACGGAAGTAGCTAGTTTGGAAGAAAACTACTGAAAGCTGAGGTCCAATGTGACCGCAAAGGACAATAGTTTTGGGACTTGCGGAATAAAAACCGCGCCATGCCAGTTTAAATACGAGTATGGCGGCCGTGGCTGCTAAGTAATTAGAAGTAGATGATACCATGCGTAAGGTCAAGGGTTTGCATCTTGACCTTACGAGCATGCAAAATTATCAGGAAACAAAATTTTCAATAACGATCCTCACTCGGCAGGGAACATCAATATCTCCTAACAAAAGTTCATCAACCTTTCAATGGCAGCTTAGAATGAAATTTAGGTCCTAGTTAGAATGCCACTTGTCTAGGATCTGAAGGTACAAATTTCGAACATAAAAAATAACTAAATTCGAGAATAAATTAAAGATTGGGAGAACTGTTTCGGCAACATACATTTTCAGCTCGAAATTGCTTGTTCACCCTGTAAGATGTAAATCACATGATAGTCTCGCGCAATCACATACATACATGTGCTTACATATATACCTACATACATGTATACAAACACATTTATGCAAGTCATTAGCCGTTGAAGTAGTTAATTGTAGCACCTTAGTCTTGCTCAATCATTTTGGCGCCGCCAGTGTGTGGCAATTTACAAGCTGGCAAGGAAAAGAAACCAGTTTGATAATAATCAGTAGCAGGTCCTTAAATATCACCCAGAATCAAGTAAATTCTATGTTGCAGGCTGATGTAACTCATAATAGGATGCAATCAGCTGTGCAAAGCATGGGCCACAGCGACTGCTAGAAACAAGTACGCAAGCA